CCCTCCCCCTTCCCCTCCCCTCCCCCCTGTTTGAATTTCATCCTGGGGAGAACCCTAACCGGCACTACAAACTATCATTTGGAAACTGTTAAAGGGCATGATGCTTCCGAGGGGCACAGAAAGATCATAGCAAAACGAAATACAAGGACCATGCCAGGGTTCTCCAAGGGCACAAATATTATAGCCGCCATGCTGGTGTATACACATGAAGTTCAAATATTTAATACAAACAGTCACCCTATCCCTATCCCTAACACTAACTCTAAACCGACTCGGCTATCTTATATACGCGTGTTATAGTACCAAAATTAATCTATGGTGTATAACCTTTTGCTTTAAATATTTTGCATCTGAACTGACAATCAATCCCAACCAACTGGTGTAGGCTAGCTGGCATAATAATGTTCATTTTCATACTTCAAATCCGAGTGTTTTCTAGCTCATCAAGAAATCTTAATCGTGAATTATATCGTGAATTAATTTCCAACGGCATTATTACGGGGCAGGTAACCCAGTCTAACACGAGGTAGAGTAGACTGCCACACTTACCGGCCACTCCTGCCATTGTCAATGGCAACAAACAAAAAATTATTTTTTTATAAGAGGTGAACTCGATTTGGAACCAGCAAACCAGCAAGTTCACCCCTACATTTTGGTATTTTTATTCCATTAATTATTTTGAATTTACCGATGGCTTTGCCCATGCAAAACAAACATTTTCACCCAACATGCAGTGCTTCAAATTTACACGCAGAGTGTGCCAGATTGCATCTCAGAGCTTCTACAATTCGAACATTGCCGACCCCGCTAGCAGTGAGTGGCACCCCCTGCTTTAATTTAAAAGCTTGGAGAACCCTGCATGCCTGTTCACGAAACAGTGGGAGCCAAAAAAATAGCCACAATTTAGCAAAACTGAATATCCTAATTAGCAACTACTGACAGCTCTGATGATGATGGTTATGCAAACTACAGAGATGTAACCGATTTTCAAGAGAAGGCCTATGAAATTCAATGATATAAATATTTAAAAAAATCATGATCACTTCATTTGTTTTCTTATGATCCATATCAAAGTTACGTATATTTTATACAATTGGATGTCTTTTACAAAACCTTTCTGGGGGAGACCCCCTGTACCACATAGCAGAAAGGGGGCTCCACCCTCCTACCCCACCTACCTCCCGACAAATCACAATGCTCGTCGCTTTGCGCATAGTTAGAGTCCTTCGGCAGGGCTATTAGAATCTTGGAAGAACTAGTAGTAGTACATTTGTTCTTTTACTAGTCCTGTGGACTAATGAACTAAAATGGTTAGTATCTAACCCTGACCTGGGCAGGAGAATACAATTACAATGGGTAGAGTACACCCTTACAATACCAATAGTCCAATACTGTATTATGTATAGTTGTACCATGGCGTTTGTATGTTTTAACGACTATTGTTGGATATGTTGTGCCCAAACTTGGAATCTTGCACAAACTTGGAATTTCAGCGCATCCGCAGTTTGGGCAAACAGAGGTAAACAGAGCTTGCACAAACATACGATTATTAGGATTTCAAATGTTATATCATAACTATAAGATTGTATACCTTCTTTCCTCAATGTGTTTGCCACCTTTGTATAAATATTAAATGTCATTCAAATGATTATAATAAATAATTGGATAAATATGAGATAAATCTCTTCCTAGTTTGCACCACGCACACCACACACTCGCTATGAGCGGTTGTTGACTGTTTTCAGTTTGCCCAATCTTGATATTGGTCAGCCAAACTAGGGAATCCATAGTTTGGGCAGCGCAATTGCTGCACAATCTCGAGCATTGGGTACGACCTGCTGCAGATTCCAAGTTTCTCCCACGAACAGAATAAGGTGAAACGGGAAAGCAAATGAGGGAACCTACAAAGGCATCACGAGCACGTCGACAGTTAATGAAGGAAGTGTACTAGGTACGCACATGCAAATGCGGGAACATGCACACTTAGCCCCCCCCCCCCACCCCCTCGCCACCACCGCACACGAGCATCACAACCCAAGACCGACAAACCCATCCCTCACGCACCCCACCACACTACCCCTGCCTACCTACATTTCACACACGCACTACCTGCTCAATCCTACTAGTTTGGGACCAGGCAAATGTATTTTTTCGCAAACGTGCTCAACTAACCCGGGGTGTTAAACTACGTCTACCTATACTCTACATCTCACACACTCACTACCTACCCTCGGTAAATCCCTAATGTGGTTCGCATCTAGCAATAGTTCCTCTAGGCTGCGCGTATAGCGCAATACCTCATCCGGTACACTTGGCAAACTGCAATGGCGTTTGTCGACGTATTCGACTTGCCGGTTGCAACCGCGGAACAAGGGAATGCACTGGAACATGGTGAACTGCAACTACCGCTGGAACGTCATCCGGCACACGGAAGCCGACGTGAAGCACGCGAAAACGCACAGAATTCGGCCGTAAATGCGAATAAAAGCGGAAAAATATCAGCACCGCGATCCTTCCATGGTAATAATACGAACGCGTAAATGAGGCGCAGTGACGTCAGCACGCCCTTGCGGAATGTGGCGCCATCTAGTGTATAATATTCGTGTTGTTTTCGTTGAGGAATGTTCGGAAATTAACTGGGAGATGATGTTAGTTTCACTATGGTTTCACGGTCACTGAGATGATTTTGAGGCTAAACGTTTCGTGTTCATGCGATTCGTTCACAGTGTGGGTTGTTTGATTAATTTAGAGCTTTGTAAATATATGATTGTTCGTCTTTTTGATATATTTTCAGTATTGATTGACTAGAAATTCATCTGAAATGTTGATGTTCACCAGAAATGAGTCCTTTCATAATTTGCCCATTATTGATCTATATTGCATAATAATTTTTCATTTCTAAATTCAAATAGTATTATGAGAGATCTCAACAAAACCGTTTGCTTCGTGATAAATTGATTTTCCATAACGTTTGCAACTAAAAATCTTTTCTCTCTCGTTCTTTGCACACAATGGCAGAGTTTACATCGTGAACAATCAAAGTTTATACATTTATCATATTTCTAAATTATTTAAAATACATCAAATTCAATTGATAAATCATATCTTATGTTTTGAGTAGACATAGAATTTATTTGGTTCATCACGTGGCAGTTGAAACAATATTATCTAAGAACTTTGCACGATGTGAGTATATCTGATCTTACTAATTATTTGTATTATATAATTAGTTAATTAATTACTAATTTTATTATTTTTATTAATTTATTTTATTACAATTTCATTATCGTTTAATCATCAGTATCATTAAGATAATTACACCGCCTACGACAGATGTGTAGGCCCACATAGATATATGTTTACGGTGAAAATAGCAGATAATTCTGCTCATATTTTTCTGGAATAATAACTCCATATAATAATTACTCCGGCAGTACAAGCAGAGCTTCTGAGAGGGGCCGCCAGGGGCGCCACACTCAATTCGGGATTCAGAATTTCATTCTTCGTCAATCTACGTCTTAAACTACTCTCCAGCTATTAATTTGTTTGAGTGAACTTGTCACGCTTAGTAATTACCTCATTACTATTGATCATCATAATTAGTCATGACATTACACGCAAATTTAGAATTTTTATTAGCGATTTATCTTTCACACACACACACACACACACACACACACACACACACACACACACACACACACACACACACACAAACACACACCACAACACGCACACCACATCCGACACACAGTTCCACACACATGTGACACAACACACACACACCACAACCCCACACACAAAGCCCACACCAGCACACACACACACAACAACACACACACAGCTCAGCCACCACACGCACATACACATAAACACATAACACACACATCAACATCACCCACACCACACACACACACACACAGCACCACACGCAGCGCACGCCACCACACCACACCAACACCAACACACACACACACACACACACACACACACACACACACACACACACACACACACACACACACACACACACACACACACACCAAATATAGAAAGTGATCTGGATAAAAATAACGGATAAAAATGCAAAACAACAATGATATTAGAAACAAATTTGCGCGTGTTGATTTTTGGACAGATAAAGTACATACTACTATATTATATTTCTCCATATTATATCACATTTTGAAATTTCAGCTTGCGTTGACAAAGCAAGAATATCAATGATGGCGTGGCATTAATAATGACGTGGCAGGTTAAAATGGGACAAAGTGATATATGTAAAATTAAGCCGGCAATTTTATATTCTAAAAGCATTTTATTATTTAGAGCAGATGGCATGCCACCTTAAGTATTATCAGGAGCTAATCATTAGTTATTTGTCATTATTTGTCATTATTAGTTTATTTGTCATTATTAGCTCCTGGTATTATCAGGTTTGTCTCCTGGTATTATGTATGCAGAGCAATTATCGAACGTGTATAGATTTTAATCACTAGATGGCGGCACTGCGACACGTGACCGTGATTCCCTAATGCTTCACCATAATACGACGTGATTTTTTGAAAATGTGTTTTCGAACGAAGGTACCTACATCAAACACGTGGATAAATATTGATTACATATTATGTAATCATATATATATATATATATCCTTAGTTCAATACATCATGCCATGAGAAGTAAGATGAAAAACTTTTTTAACGATGAAAAGCAATCGTATTCGACATTTCCGCTTATCAGACTATTCTATACTGACCCGAAAACATATCGCAACTGCTTACTCTAGTTTATCTATTTATAGATTGCACGTGTGTAATGAACCAATGACTTGAGAACATTTACAAGATTCCAGAGTTTCCAGCCATCGTAAGAACGTAACAGGTGCATATATTTATCATGACATAACCTTTCATGTTTATTTCCAACGTAGCGACGTACCAGAACTATTTACTACCGTACGAGCGTATTTATATAATGCATGTATGTCATATATAAACTGTGCAAACTTGCATATAGATATCGATAACTAGCAGAGGAATGAGAGGATATCACGCGAGATTAAATTCTCGATGAGACTGAATAGATTGCAAGACCAGAAGAGGCACGCGAACGCAGCACCATCTTGTTTCGTGTTTAATTAATGAAATAATAGATAGCTTACGTTAATTATGTTTATTACAATAAAAGCCGTACCAAATACCCAACATCAAACATATGATTTTGGTTAAATTGCTTAATATCAAGAGTAGATAATAACACTTGTGTTATTATCTACTTTTGTTAATATATATATATAAGGAAGCTCAGGAATCGCTGCCTGCGCGCTATTTTGAGAACTCGCGGCTGGACTCTGAACGAGGTTAAATCGGTGTGTTCAACCTATAACGTCGGATCAATCATCCAGCCTATTCCGTGATAGTCGTATAAGCCAAGCTGAATACGGGGTTATGCTGTGTGCACGCGTCACAAATGCCTAAAACTGAATTACCACGAATTTCCTCAGAATACTTTCCGAATTTCATCTCAGCTGTTTTTTCGCCTTCCATTGTGTATATATCAAGCGCCACGACATACGTTCGTTGTCCGTCTACGAACGAAATCTGTTTTCAGCTTTCAAAAGTCTTACAGCACGGGAAAATCTACTGAAGAAGAAGGCCAGGGCCGTAGCCTGCGGGGGGGGGCAAAAAAAAAAAAAAACAAGCTTATATGTAATAATCGTAAATAACCCTAACGTGATTTTTTTTGGGGTGACTTATCCGTGAAAGCCTTGTCTCAGACCCACCCCTATACCACACTATAGACGTCGACATCATCACACAGTTCAGTCAAAAAATTTTACCCCCCAGGAATTTGCTCAGCCTACGGTCCTCCGGGGCGGATTCAAAGCGTATTTGACGTATTGGGAAATACGGTCTAGATTTCAAAGTTCCCTTCAAAATGTACAGAAAATACAAAAAATACAGAACACAATTTGATGGAATCTGGCTATATTCTTTATTTGTTTTCTTTTTCTTCTGATTCATTGACAGGACTGGAAGGAAATCACAATTTTACATGGTAACAAAACTAGCTTTGATATATGAAAAAGAAGGGAAGTGCTTGAATCATTCATTCTGCATTAATAGCTGGTATGCAAAGCGCAGGCAAAATGAAGCAGAAATAAAATTCCATATGGTTTTTAGCTATTGCTGCTTGACTAAATGTGTGCTCAAATGGTGCTCTTTTTTGTGCCCAGTGACCCTTGAAATTTAGAAAAATACTGTCTAGCCTCAGCCCTGGATCCGCCCCTGGCCCTGAAGGCGCACATCTAAACGCCCGCAACTTTGTAGGGAAACATAGAATTAGTTACGAGACGAGATAGACGTTTAAATCTGTTTTCGTCGTTCAAAAGAAGCACCACAATAGGTTTCTGACAGAAATGAACGCATGAAGCTTATCGGGTTTGCAAAACATATTATATTATATATATATAAAACGCTGCCATATAAGCTATACGTTTTAGTCTATCATAAGCAGCCAAACATGATATGCGCCTAAATGTGTTTCATCGAGCAAACATCGTGGAAAAACAAGCTACCGACCAAAATAGACGCTTCAACTAATTTCCGCGTTTTCAAAACGTAGGGCAAGCTATAGCGGACCGGATGCAACACGTAAATACGTTTTGCATTGTTCGACGAGCAAGCAGACGAAACGTGATGTTATCGGAGTACAATGGCCGCCACGATTATTTGACCTCTATATGCTTTCTCCCGTCTGTTTCCCTGCGATTTGACCTCTAAATGCTTTCTCCCGTCCGGTTTCCGGTGGGATGACCTCTAGATGCCCTCTCCCGGCTGGTTTCCGGTGATTTGACCTCTAGATGCCCTCTCCCGCTTGGTTTCCGGTGCGGATTGACCTCTAGATGCCCTTCTCCTGACTGGTTTCCGGTGGGATGACCTCTAGATGGCCTCTCCTGCCCTGGTTTCGCGGTTGGATGACTTCTAGATGCCAGTCTCCCGCCCTGGTTTCCGGTGATTTGCCTCTAGATGCCCTCTCCTGCCTGGTTTCCGGTTGGATGACCTCTAAATGCCCTCTCCCGCTTGGTTTCCGGTGGGATGACCTCTAGATGCCCTCTCCTGCCTGGTTTCTGGTGGGATGACCTCTAGATGCCTTCTCCTGCCTGGTTTCCGGTTGAATGACCTCTAGATGCCCTCTCCCGCCTGGTTTCCGGTTGGATGACCTCTAGAGACGGGGATCACCTCTCGGGTTGCCGGGCGACGGCCACTCGGGCGAGCATTCGGCGCATGTGTAGTACGACACCTCCTGGGGTTCCTGCCAGTACGGCTGCGTCACGTTGTAGACGCACTGCTCGGTCGCCTGCGTCACCGTGCACAGCGGCAGCGTCAGGTCCTTCCTGACGCCGTCGGCGTCGCACCACAGCCACGGCGCGAAGCTGCGTATGGTGCTGAGCGGGGTCGGGTTGCGCATCCACGCCAGCGCCTGCGAGACGGACACGAAGTAGACGCTGTCGTCTGCCTCGAGTTCGTCGAGGAAGCGCGACATGGCGCGCGCGCCCGTGCCGCCGTAGTCGATCAGATCCGCCTCGAACCACGCCGCGCGCAGGTTGAGCGTGAAGGGGGCGCGGTTGCCGCGGGCGTGGCGATCGTAGTTGACGCGAAGCCATTCGTAGGTTTCCTTTTCCGTGTCGTAGTGGGGGCACGCGTCGGGGACGTTCCCGCAGATGGTGCCGTTAGGGTGCGTCCAGTCGATGAGAGGGAACTCCCAGAGTCCGGGGAAGGTGAGGGTCGGGCAGCCGAGGACGATGCATTCGTCCGTCAGCGGTGTGCGGAAGTCTAGCGTGTGTGGCCACATCGGAGGAGAAACCTGCTGCGTGGGTAGAGAGGAGTCCCAGGAGAAGCCGCTCTCTATGAGCATCTGGAAGTAGTTGTTGTTGACCTCCAGGTAGGGCATGCGCGCGCCTTGCACCGTCGCAGGGTTGACCCCGGAGAAGAGGTCAAGGATGACGCGGTGGTTGGAGATTTCCTCGTTCAGCTGGTCAATGCTGGCGCGGCTCCACCACTGACTGGGAAGCTTCTGTCTGCAGGTGAAACAAAGATGGCGACGGTTAACAACTCTCTCTCTCTCTCTCCCCTCTCTCTCTCTTTCTCTCTCTCTCTCTCTCTCTCTC